TAAATATCATTACCTTTCTTTGAAGCTCAAAATTTCGGGTATGTCACCCATTATAAGTTTAGTGGCATCAAAAATGTTCACAGCTTTTATAGATCCTATAGGAGATAAAAAATTATTTAGAGAACAATATTATTTTTAAGGATTAAAAAAATCATTCAATGTGAAGAACCTACCATCTTCAAAAGTCCTTGCGCGGCAAAATTGAACAATTACTACACGCAAGTTATTCACCGGAGAATTGTTCAACGCATCAACAATGACTTGCACATATCCTTCCCACAATGTGCAAGTCAAATGGTGCCCCCTTGAAAAAAAGATAGATAATTAATTTTTAGTTAGAAATAAAATCGAAATTACTTGAAATGTAAAAAATTGCTTATATTCTTTAACTTACTCAACATCTTCTAGAACAATGTCTATGAATTTCTTTTCCGCTCCATTTGAATTTGTTGTTCTTACGCTTTGAACCAAAGCGACACGGCCAATCAAATCTTAAAAAATAAACAAATAAACAATACATCTTAAAATTATACATTGTAACAGAAGAGAAATGATATTAATCCATCAAGAGAAAAAAAATACCAAAAATTTTATTGGAATCGATTGATTGAGGGTCGGATAGTTCTTTGAAGTCTTTGAAGTTGAACAACAATCTTGGGTAGTCGTTTTCAGCCACCTCAGCCATTTTTGTCTCATTACCAAACTCAAGCTTGTGACTTGATTCGGTTAATTTGAAAGCACTCTTGTCCTCTAAGAGTTCCCAACTTGTAATGATATACACGTGTCCTTCGGTAAGGTTGAAATCTTTGAATTTTTTTGCCAACGAACCGGGAGCCGAACCATGAATCCGTTGTCCCTAAAAAAATTTCAATATATCATTAGGAAATTAATATTTTGACACAAAAGAATTACAATAATAAGATGCAACAAAAAAAATAAAAAAATACCTTAACATCATGAAATACGAAATCTAGCTCTCTAATGCTATCCTTGCTCGACTTGTAGAACTTTGGAAAGTATCTAACCAACCTCAGCTTTGCAGCCATTTTTTTGTGTTTGGCCAAGTAAGTTAAATTTTCAAAGTTTGAAATCATTTTGTTATTGGGAATTTGAATCTAGAAAAAAAATTTTCTTGGGCTCGTGTAAGTGCTGGTGGAGTAGAGTGTGGATTGGAGTGAGTGAATGCTGTCTTTTTTGGCTATTTATATAGGATTTGGGAATGAGAAAGGATTTAAATTAATAATTAATAAATTAATTTAAATGATGATTACAATTTAAATAAATGATTGAATGATAAATTTAAGCAATTTGTATTTATGCATTGACCAGCCACATTATATATTGATCTTTGAATATAAATTTTTTATTTTATTAGGAGTTATGAGAAGTTATTAGATGAGAAAAAATCGTGGGATTATGATTATTTGATTGGCAAACAAAATGGGTTAATTAATATTAATTTTTTATTTGACTTATGAGATAAGAAAAATAATGGGATTTTGATTTTAAAACAGTAATTATCAAGCTGATTAACAGATTATTGGATTTTGTTTTTGGAAATATTATATGACAGTTATACTTACAAATTTAAGCAATTTGTATTTATCCATTGACCAGCCACATTATATATTGATGTTTTAATATAATTTTTTTTTTATTAGGAGTTATGAGAAGTTATTAGATGAGAAAAAATCGTGGGATTATGATTATTTGATTGGCAAATAAAATGGGTTAATTAATATTAAATTTTTATTTGACTTATGAGATAAGAAAAATAATGGGAGTTTGATTTTAAAACAATAATTATCAAGCTGATTAACAGATTATTGGATTTTGTTTTTCGATTTATTATATGATAGTTATACTTACAAATTTGAGCAATTTGTATTTATGCATTGACCAGCCACATTATATATTGATCTTTTAATATAAATTTTTTATTTTATTAGGAGTTATGAGAAGTTATTAGATGAGAAAAAATCGTGGGATTATGATTATTTGATTGGCAAATATAATGGGTTAATTAATATTAAATTTTTATTTGACTTATGAGATAAGAAAAATAGTGGGATTATGATTTTAAAACAGTAATTATGAAGCTCATTAACAGATAATTGGATTTTGTTTTTGAAATTATTATATGACAGTTATACTAAATTATTTTGGCTGACATTTTGTTTGGTTTTTTTTTTCAGGAATGGAGGACTGGAGAGGCGATGGACATCTTAATTTTTTTTTTTTTAAATATATTTTTTTCAGTTGGTTGTAATTTATTTATTCTTTTTTATTAATTTCGTTTAATTTATTATGCATAAAAAAATTAATTGCGATTAGAAATATAATTACTTATAATTAATGACAATAATTAATATGCTTAAAAAGTATGGAAACAACATTAACTTGTCATCATTTCATAATTAATTAGTTATCTATCATAAAACAGTCAAATGTAAACCAAAATGTTTTGATTTTAATAATAAAAAAAAAACTGAAAAAAATAGTCAACAGTAACGGAAATGGGCGGGAAACTGCCAGCTAGGTATAATTTATTATGTTTTATTTAATGCACAATAGCTAGTAATTATATATATATAGATTGTACCTTTTTAAATTGTAATAGGACTATTTTATGAGGTGGAGAAAGTATAGAATGAAAGAAAATGTATTGCTGTTTAGGTGCTTTAGAATTTTGAGATGACAACTCAG